CTTAGAGCAGAAGCTAACGCGTATCTACAGAAACTCCAGAAGCGAGTTCCAATGGTACGTCAAACGATCCGAGTTCACCACCCTAGAAGAGCTAGTGAGTTTGGCGGAAGATATGGAAAATATCCCCCCGGTGAGAGAGCCACTGAGAGCCGCAGCGCGAACAACTCCACGGGTTACGGAGAGATATCAGCACATGCGCGAGCTGCCTAGGAGTGACGAGACGGCCAGAGCAGAGAGAACACAACGCCGACCTGAACCACACAGCGGTGTAGCAACACTACAGTCGGAGTACGTTAATCCGTGGACTGCGTGTAGACATTGCGGGGGAGATGGCCATTTTGCGAGGGAGTGTAGAGCTGCACGGAGAGAGTTTTGTTGGACCTGTGGAGAGTGCTGCCGTAGTGCATCGGGAAACGGGTCGAGGTCCCATTTGCGGCGAGGAGTGGGGCGTCAGGTAGAACAGCCTCGCCCAAACTAAATAGTGTACTAAGGCAGTCGTATGGCCGAATTATGGCGGCGATCAGAGTAAATGAGGTCGACGTAGTAGCTGCAGTTGATACAGGTGCAACAAGAAGTTTCTTGAGCGAAGCCATGGTTAAGAGACTGGATGTGGGAGAGGCTAGGCAGGTGAACACGCGTGTGGCAATGGGTGATGGGAGATCCAAAACGGTGCTGAAGGCTATAACGGCACGAGTGGAGTTAGCGAATCAGGTGCATGAAAGCGATCTTTTGGTACTGCCTGGTTTGATGGATGACTTGGTGCTTGGAACCGATTTCCTGGCAAAAGCGGGGGTCCGATTATGTTGCGGAGACTCAGACGTGACACTCCGAGAAGAGAGCTGTGCACAAGGAGTAGAAACGTTCATGGCAATACGCGAGGGAGGTGCAGAGAGGTCAGGTAAATGCGATGAGCCCAAATCAAACCCAAATGCCTACAGAAGCCGCGACAACCGACGAAGCGAGAGAGTTCTTAAAGTCAGAGTTACGCAAAATTAAGAAGATGTCTGGAGTTTCAAATATTGCCACTCACCGGATCGTCATGAAGGATGACCGGCCGGTCAAGCAGAGGTATTGCCCGAAGAACCCAAAGATGCAGGAAATCATCAACGCGGAAATCGACGACCTTAACGAGAAAGGGTGTATTGAACCCTCACACAGTCCGCACAGCGCCCCGATAGTGTTGGCGAAGAAGGAGACCGGCAAGTGGAGACTCTGCGTCGACTACCGATAGCTAACCGAGCGTTCAGTGCCCGACGCGTACCACCTACCGAAGATCCAACATATCCTTGACCGACTACGAAGCGCGCGTTACATTAGCAGCCTTGACCTGAAAAACGGTTACTGGCAAATCCCGATGGAAGAGCAGAGCAAGCAGTACACTGCTTTTACAGCGCCAGGGCGTGGCCTTTTTCAATGGCGAGTAATGCCGTTTGGGCTCCACTCCGCCCCCGCGACGTTCCAGCGTGCGTTAGACCAAGTTATCGGTCCAGAACTAGAGCCGTATGCTTTTGCCTACCTGGATGACATTATTGTCATCAGCGCAACCCTGCAAGAGCACGTCCAACATCTTTCGGAGGTCTTCCGACGGCTTAGGCAGGCGAATCTTAGGATCAACTCAGAAAAATGCGAGTTTTTCAAGAAGCAGTTGAAGTATCTGGGTCACGTCGTCATCGAGAAGGGCATTCACACCGATCCTGAGAACGTCGCGGCTATCAAAGAGCTGACACCACCGACAAATATAAGGGAGCTACGCAGGTTCCTACGGATAAATTCATGGTACCGAAGATTTGTCCCCGACTTTTCCAAAGTGGCGCATGCGCTGACGTCCATGCTAAAGACGGGCCACAAGTGGAAATGGAACGACGAGCAACAGACAGCGTTCGAGGCGCTGAAGAACGCGTTAACCGAGGCACCAGTGTTGGCTTTCCCCGACTTTACGCAGAAGTTCACTCTGCAAATAGACGCGAGCGACTACAGGCTGGGAGCTGTTCTCACCCAAGAGATTGAAGGAACAGAACGCGTAATCGCATATGCGAGTCGCCGGCTTAACAAGGCCGAACTTAATTATTCACCAACGGAGAAAGAGTGCCTGGCCATAGTGTGGGCGATCAGAAAAATGAGACCCTACCTAGAAGGATATACGTTTACCGTCACCACCGACCACTTAGCGCTTAAATGGCTGAGTAAGATAGAGAGTCCATCCGGTCGGATTGCAAGGTGGGCGCTGGAACTGCAGCAGTACTCCTTCGATGTGCAGTATCGCAAGGGTAAGCTGAATGTGGTAGCAGACGCGCTGTCAAGACAGCCCCAGGAAACATTGCTTGGTTCGATGACGGCGGGAGGAGTAGCGGTAGAGTACAAGTGGCTGAAAGACAAGATGGCGGAGGTGGAGAAGTCTCCACAGAAGTTTCCTGACTTTGTCATCGAAAATGGTGAGCTGTACAGGCGAATATCAGGACAAATTGACGGTGAAGGCGTGTTGCCATGGAAACTATGCATGCCGGCAGAGCAAAGACAGAGGGTGTTACGGGAAATTCACGATGTTCCCAGTGCAGGCCATATGGGCATCCGAAAAACGATAGCGCGGGCGACAGCGCGGTACTATTTTGCCGGGCATGTTCCGTGACGTGAGGCAGTACGTGCGACAGTGTGAAACGTGCCAGCTTTACAAACCAAGCCAGCCGCAAGCAGCCGGAAAGATGCTGACGCAGCTAGCCGAAGAACCCTGGGCGACAGTGTGTGTTGATTTCGTAGGACCTCTTCCGCGATCCAAGCATGGAAACACTATGGCACTGGTAATACTAGATCATTTCTCAAGATGCGTCGAGATTGTACCAATGCGGAAGGCAACAGCGGAGGGAGTAATTCGAGCAGTGAGAGAGCGGATTATCGGCAAATTCGGCATTCCAAAATCCGGATCTCGGATAATGGAACGCAATTTATCAGCGCGAAATTTAAGCAATTCCTGGAGGAGATGGGAGTAAGGCACCAATTCACTGCTCCGTACACACCGCAGCAAAATCCGACGGACAGAGCGAACCGTAACGTCAAACGACTACTGGCGCAGTTTGCAGGCAGAGACCAGAAGAGCTGGGATGATCTGTTGCCAGAAATGACTTTGGCCCTCAACACGAGCGTGTGCGAGGCAACAGGTTACAGCCCGGCGTTTGTCATCCAGGGGCGAGAACCAAGGTTACCGAACGCATTGTACGACGAAAATACGTTAGGAACCGGCGAAGATACCACCACACCGCAAGTAGAAGCGGCGATAATGAGAGAGGTGTTTGAGTTAGTGCGACGAAACCAACAAAAGGCAACGACAGAGCAAGCGAGACACTACAATCTGCGAAGAAGATCATGGCAACCGGTCGTGGGAGACAGAGTTCTGGTGAGAGAACACTTCTTGTCTAAAGCCGTGGAAAATTTCGCGGCTAAGCTTGCACCGAAATACGGCGGACCACATCGCGTACTAAATTTTATTTCGCCTGTGATCGTCGAACTCGACAAGGTGCACAAAGGGAAAAGGAGGACAGCGCACGTGAGTGATCTCAAACCATTTTATGAGAACAACGCGAAAGGTGAAAATTCTCCCGTGGCATCGTCTGAGCCTAATTCGGCGCACAGCGGCGAATAGGTAAATTTCAGCAGAGACTGAAGTGTGTGAACTCGGCAATTGCCAGCAGGGGAGCAACTGCCATGACAGCGGAGACTCTGAAAGATTAGGAGCTAGTCGAAGAATCCTAAATCAGATGAAGAAGAATAATAATAATAAGAAGAAGAAGAATAAGAAGAAGAAGAAGAAGAAAAAGAAGAAGAAGAAAAAAAATAAAGGTTCCAAGGGAAAACAATGAAAGATGTAGATGGCACGAAACACAAAAGAAAAATTATAAAAGTAAAAAAAAACAATAATTGTCATTATAATATTAAAATTAATGATAACAACAGCAATAGTAATAATAATTATAAATATTAATAATAATTATAGTTATAAATATTAATAATTGTTTACACTTTGAGTTCCATTTCTTAACTTATGTATTGAATACGTAAAATTACAACAATGTAACCCTAATATAACTAATAACTAATGCAACCATGTACAATTACGCAAAGCGAACACACTGGCGTTGGCTGTCAACAAATTGCGTTTTTGAAGATACACACACGAAACAGTCCACGAATAAATGAAACATTTTGTACTTAAACAAAAATTAGTGTGAGTGTTTTCGTTATTAAACATAAACCAAGGTATAGGTTTACGACATCGATTGCCATACTCATAAGTTTGGTCCTTCGAGCCGGATAGCCGGATTGGCTTCGTTCGACAATTCAGCGTGAATTTGTGTACATCCACTAGATTTGGGCAACGCAGCATCTTCGAAGGGAGTGCAATAAATATTGTATATTGCCAATAGACAGTATCCATGTACGCGGAGCACCCACATTGGAGTGTGGAAATTTGCAGAAGGAACATCACTTGAAAACGGAAACTTCATCACATAACCTCAACGAGCACGTGCAAATTGCAATTAACCATAGCATTGTAACTTATAGCAACAGGTACGAGCGCCATCGGTATGCACAATTATATTGATATGTATACTTAAATAAATTCATTGTAAATGGTAAATGTCTATGCTAAAGGACAGAGCTCAAACTGTTTACTAAGGTCTAAGACCACACGTATATAAGCAAATTCCATTGAATATTAAAGATTTTTCAAACTCAAGGTAGATGAACGACTTCAAATTATTCAACATATGTATAAGTGTATGTGTATACCCATGAAATTGAAAACCTAATTATTGTATGCAAATATACTAAATATATAGTTTAGGTTCTCTAAACACTTCTGTACGATTGAATTACTAAATGATATACATATATGTAAATATCCACACAAATTAATTTTAATATACCTAATATTTGAATTAAAACTCCTGAATTTATAAATCTCTATACACAAATAATCTTTAAATAGAAAATTGTAGTCTGTAGAAATGGAAAATCTAAAACAAAAACGTCAGGTCATAAAGGGCTCCATAACTCGTATTTACACATTCTGTCTGAATCAAAACGCATCTTTAGACGAAGTTAAGGTGCGTATCAGTAAACTTGATGAACTATTTTCACAGTATGAAGAGATACAAAATAGCATTGATGATCTCGCCGGCCCGTCTCAGGATGAAGAAGTGTATCGAAGCGAGAAGGAAGATAAATATTTCGCAACTAAATCTATATTTGCCAATCGAGTACGAGAGGATGAAAGTAATCGTATGATGAGTGAGCATCCACAAGGTGGAGACAAGACTAGGGCCATGCAGTCACTTATGGACCACCAAACCACTAGGAGTGCGCTAATCGAGAGAATATCGAATAGCACTGGGATGAACGCAGCGTCGTCACCCTTTAATCAACCAAATGATCGTAATACACGAGACAAACACGAAATTCGTCTTCCGCATATTCAAATTCCCGAATTCGATGGGACGTATACCGAATGGATTCGTTTTCGTGACCTATTCGAAGCCATGATCCACACAAGAGCTAATTTGTCAGACGTGGAAAGGTTCGAATACCTGCAAACAAGACTCAAGGGAGACGCGTTGTCGTTGGTGAAGCATTTAAGGCCTACAAATGATCCACACAAGAGCTAATTTGTCAGACGTGGAAAGGTTCGAATACCTGCAAACAAGACTCAAGGGAGACGCGTTGTCGTTGGTGAAGCATTTAAGGCCTACAAATGAAAACTATAAAATAGCCTGGGATTTACTCTGCAAAAAATACAATAAAAACGACAAGGTAAAAAGCGCTTATCTGGAACTATTATTCGATCAACCGGCGATGAAGTTACTGTCGGCATCTGAACTAAAAAGAGTCGTGAACACCTCAAATGAAAGAATTAATGCCTTGAAAGCGCTCGATGAGCCTGTAGAGCACTGGGATTCCGTACTATTATTTCACATAGAAAAAAGATCGATTCCGAAACACTCATCTTGTGGTACAGAGAGAAAAAATCCGATCAAGTCGCTACCTTTGCACAATTTCTAAATTTTCTAGAGGAGCGACTATTTGAGCTGGAAAGCGCCCAAAGGAAGACAGGAAATTTAGTCAAATCTGGAATCAAAGCAACTGAAGCAAAAAGCAACGCCAACAAGTGTCGAAACCAATCTAGTGCGTACACTTCGGTTATACAAACGTGTCCCGTATGCTCAAAGAATCACGCTCTATTCCACTGCAATCAGTTCAAAATGTTAGATATTGAAAGGCGAATTAAAATAGTACGTGATAACAACAGATGTTTCAACTGCCTTCAAGACAATCATCGTGCAGCTCAATGCACACGCTCAAATTGTAGAATCTGCAACGAAAAACACAAATCGTTGCTCCACCGGGTAACGCGACACATCAGTACAACAAAACACTAGCGTTACTACCAACAGCAACGGTACTCATATTAGACGGCCGAAATAGTCTTCAACCATGTCGAGTACTGCTTGATTCGGGTGCACAAGTCACGCTCATTTCTGAGGCGTGCGCACAACGTCTAGAGCTTAAGCGTTCATACGATAAAACTTTAATTCATGGTGTCGGGGCAGGCACTGGAAGTTATACAAAGGGTAAGGTGTACCTACTATTGAAGGCAACGTATTATGAGAAGATGGCAACAACAGAGGCTTTATGTGTGGATCGCTTGACACAAAATCTTCCTGGCCACACAATCAACAACGAAAAACTTAATTATTTCAACAACCTGAAATTGGCTGATCCCCAATACAACTCAACGGGACGGATATACATTATCTTGGGTGCAGATATATTTAGTGAATGTTTACTACAAGACAAGATTGTACACCCAAGTGGATCTCCAAGCGCAATACAAACAATTTTCGGCTGGGTTATTGTTGGTAACGTTGCTAATCAGCGAAATCTTGAAATAGTACCAGCGCATATGACAGTCGACTTGGGTGAGCAACTGCAGCAGTTTTGGAAAGTCGAGGAATGTAACGAAACAATGAATCACCTGACACCTGAGGAAGAGCAAGCAGAAATACACTTCCAACAACACGTTCAGAGGGATTCCAGTGGACGATACATCGCCAGATTCCCATTTAAGAGTACAGTGGTTAACTTGGGGGACTCGAGGCAGGCGGCGTTAAAACGATTTCATGGTTTGGAAGCCAAATTCTATAAAAATGTGTTGCTTAAAGAAGAGTATACCGAGTTTATTCAAGAATTTTTCGAGTTGGGGCACATTGAAGTAGCAAGGAGCTGCTCATCTAGCAAGACATATTTCATGCGACACCACGCAGTGTTTAAGCCTAGCAGCACTACAACAAGGGTACGCGTAGTGTTCGATGCGTCCTGTAAAACAGACAATGGAACGTCACTCAATGAACAACTACTAGTAGGTCCTACAATACAGAGGGATCTGTTCACAATCCTAATACAATTTCGCAGGTATAAAATAGGCTTCATTGGGGACATAGAAAAGATGTATCGCCAGGTGCTCATACATCCAGATGACCGCTCGTATCAACGCATTTTATGGAGAGATGATGAAAGTAAGCAAATCCAGGAATACAATTTAAGGACAGTGACGTATGGAACAGCCTGCGCGCCTTTCCTGGCTACCAGAACTCTGCGTCAAGTAGCGATTGACAATGCTGAACTGAATCCCGATGTTTCAAACGCGATCGAAACCTGTTTTTACGTAGATGATTTCATATCATGCGCAAGTAGTGTAGAAGGAGCTACAAACCTAAAAAACGACTTGTGTAAAATTCTTGACAGTGCTGGATTTCACTTGCGGAAATGGTCGTCGAATTCACCACAGTTCATTGATAGCATTCCCACACAAGACAGAGAGTCCTCTACAGAGACCGTAATCGATGATACCCAAACTGTGAAAACCTTGGGGTTGTTGTGGAATACAACCAAGGATTGTTTTAAATTTAGTGTGACGCTGGGGGCCATGCCACATGTCGTTACAAAACGTACAGGTTTGTCTGATATATGCAAAATCTTCGATTCGATCGGTTGGTTGGCACCAGTTGTCGTTAGCATGAAAATTTTTATGCAAAGGCTGTGGCTGAGAGGTGTTGACTGGGATCAACCATTGCCTGAAGATCTATTAACCCAATGGCTGGTGTTACGTGATAGTATGTGCCAGATAACCAACTTGCAGATTCCAAGATGGTTACAATTGTCAGACGACAACCACGTCGAGCTTCACGGATTCGCTGATTCATCAGAGTTGGCATATTCAGATGCAATCTATTTGTGGGTGCGACGTCCAGATGGAATAATATATACAAATCTTATTGCTGCAAAGACTAGAGTAGCCCCCGTTAAGCAGGTCACATTACCACGTTTGGAGTTGTGCGCAGCACAGCTAATGGTGAAACTGATGGTGAAGCTGCAGCATATATTCAACATTGAGAATGATAGGATGTTTGGTTGGTCGGATTCCACGGTAGTGTTGGCCTGGATTGCGGACCATCCGAGACGTTGGAAATCATTTGTCGCGAACAGAACATCATACATCATCAATATTATACCCGCTACACAATGGTTCACAGCATAATCCTGCAGATCTAGCGACGAGAGGTATGGCGCCTTCGGCTCTCATCAACAACAAGTTGTGGTGGCATGGGCCAGACATTTTGAAGGATTGTAATGAATCAACAGAAAAGCAGAACTTCGAGGCACCAAACGACGTCGACATGGAAGAGCGAAGGAATATTGTTCACATCACTACAGTTCCCGAAGCCGACTACATCGAACGATTTTCAGACTATAACCGATTGCTTAGGATCACAACTTGGATTCTGAGGTTCACAAAAGATTGCAAAAGGGCTAAGTCCGAAACGATAACCGGGCTGCTTTCAGTAACCGAGCTACAGGCAGGCCACAACGTGTTAATCAAGAATGTCCAACTGCAGTTTTTCGCGGCTGAAATTCGAGCCTTATCGGCTGAAAAACAGCTTTTAGCAAATCACAAGTTGGCATCACTTGCGCCATTTGTTGACACGTATGGCCTATTACGAGTTGGTGGTCGAATTGACAACGCTGACATTAGTTATGAACAAAAGCACCCATTAATCTTACACAAGGACAGGCACTTAACTGAGCTCATTGTGAGGGAATATCATATACGATATTTGCACGCTGTAAGCCGTCAACTTCAATATTTATTAGGATTGAAATATTGGATACCCGGCATAACTCATCTAGTCAAACGCTGTGTATACAAATGCGTTCGGTGCATGCGATTTCGTGGCAAGCCCTTCCAACAACAAATGGGTGATCTTCCCCGCCATCGACTTGAAACTGGCTCCGCCTTTCTCAACACCGGCGTGGATTTTGCCGGCCCTATACAAGTGCGGTCATGGAAAGGTCGTGGAAGTAAGCGCTATAAATCTTGGATTGCATTATTTGTGTGTTTAGTCACAAAGGCTATTCACTTGGAATTGGTTACAGAACTTTCCACAGCGGCCTTTATTGCTTCTCTCCGAAGATTCGTGGCGAGACGGGGCAGACCATGCCATATTTATTCTGACAATGGAGCCAATTTGTTGGATGCAATCAACAGCTACGCGAACTAATTCAATTTGTGAACAGAAAGAATTGGCAGACCAAACAATCCAATGGCATTTCTCACCACCCTCTGTCCCGCATTTTGTTGGAATGTGGGAGGCCGGAGTTAAATCAACGAAGTTCCTCTTGAATCGAGTATTGGCCGCCGCCTCCGCAACGTATGAAGAAATGACCACAATATTGTGTCAAATTGAAGGTTGCTTGAACTCAAGACCAATATGTTTAAAATTCGAAGGTGATGAGGACCCATTAACCCCAGCCCATTTTCTAATTTTCCGGCCAATGTCTTCTATTCCCGATGAGCCCCATACGATAACAAGGGTAAATTATTTGAAACGTTGGCAGTATTTAGCCAGTAGAGTATGCGCGCCATATCGATATGCGCATCAGGCTATACGACCCGATGGCATCAGAAGAGCCACATCCACCGCCGCAACAGCTGTGCCTTAGTGACCGCCCGATCGAGGCGTGTACGTTGGCGAGCGGTGGACAAAGGGATTTCGTGGAGGAGGCGTCGGCGGAAGCGGATTTCAGTGTGGCAGCAGATGCCGACTTAATGGCAGAAATAGAGCGTTGGCTAGAAGAGGCTGAGCCGAGTGTTCCATCGGAGTGGCAGGTCCATCCGGACGTAGGTGTGTTGCCGGAAGAGTTGGTGGCGGAAATTGAGTCGCACGTAAACCATCAGCAACAGAAGCGGCAGTCATTCAGACGCATCGTAAACGGCCAGGCGTACAGAGTACGAATTACCAAGACTGGCAAGGTGACCGTAGGTCTTGCTGCCGGGAGTAAGGAGGGAGTGTGAGGACCCCGGATCCTGTGGCCCTGGGCCCCACAACAACTATTT